CAGGTCCCGCAACCTCTGGGCTGATCCCTCCAGGGGTTAGAAAGAGCCACAGCAATGGAAAAGAACTTGGGAGAACGACACCATCTATAGGCATGATTATTGTCAAGCATTACAAATCAGGCTGCCCCTGATAACTGTTTGAAAACTTCATCTGATACAGAATGCTGCCATTAGAATGGTGGTGGAAAGTCACACCCAACTTATGGCAGCCCTGTAGGGTACAAGGTAAGAGACCTTCAGAGGTAGTTTACCATTGCTTGCCTCTGCATGGTGACCCTAGACTTCCTTGGTCATCTCCCATCCAAATACTAACCAAGGCTGACCCTGCTTAGCTTTTGAGATCTGATGACACTGGGTTAGCCTGAGCCATTCAGGTCAAGGTACCATTAGAGTACTGACTGGTTTATGATGGTATGATTATATAATACCAGAGCTTCAGCAATTTAATTGATTACTTATTTGTTTCCAGGCACAATTTAACGTACCAGTTGTTACGTTTAAAGCCCTTCATGGTCTGGAACCCACATATCTAATGGGCTGCTTTTCTTCATATGATCCTGTGTGCCAACTAAGATCATCAGGTGCCTTCTTTCTGACAGCCCCCTCTATTTGGGAGGTTCATTCACCTACCGCTCACATTTTGCCCAACATGACACAGATAACTTCTGTACTCAGCTGTAGTGAAAGTAATTAATAATTAACATAGAGCATTGTGGAAAAGCAGGATATAAATATTTCAGATAGATAATAGACAGACAGACAGATGGATGGATAGATAGACAGATAGATAGATGACAGATAAATAGATATCCCACCATTTGCTGCTAAAAGCAATTGGTACTGAAGGAAGAGGGAACTCGGTAGTACCCATCACACTTTAGTTCCACCCTTCTTTCAAGAAGTTCAGGATAGTGCATATGATTCTCCTCTCCAGTAAAGTAGGTCAGGAAGTAGGCCACAAAAGGAGTTCCATGGCTCAGTGAGGGTTTGAACCTGGTCTCTCCATACCTAGTCTAATACTGTAACCATTCCACTATAGCGGCTGTCCTGAAATGAACTGTGAGCATGATGTTGTGGAAGAAGGGTTAAATTCCTGTGCTTTTTCCCTGATCAGCCCCCCTCTATACACACTGTTTTTAGATCTGAAAAAGGCACAATACAGGTGTTGCAATTGCAGCAGAAAACAGATCACAGTAGTAGTGGGAAAAGAGCAAAGGTGGTTGGTGCACTTTCAGAAACAAGATCATAGCACTGGGTTTTATTTTGTGATTTAGATTGCCTTAGTCATTGATGAGGACAGAAGGGATCCCTCCAATTCAACTCAACCTCACCAAGGCCATTGAATAATTTTACAGTCACAAAGAAAACAAGAGCCAAAGCTCCTGCAAATCTAATGCTGCCAGTCAAGTTCAAGGCTAACTCCTGACAATCAGCCATGGATCTTCTAGAAGGCCTGGACTCTTATAACCTTGTCTAACTTGTTCACTTCTCTTGCCTGGACTTAGAGTGGCATCCTCATATAATCTCTCTAGTTAGACGGGCTCTTAATAGCTGCTGAGTTACACAGACTCAAACAGGTGCTATATACCTGGTTCCTAGTTGCCGCAGTCCTCTAGCTGTTGCTGCTCAGCAATCACCTGCTATAAACAATTCAGTGGCTGGAAACTCAACCCAATACAAGTTTCAAAATAAAGCAAAATGAAGATAATTGTTGCTGAATTGGTCCCAGAGAATTAAGAAGAGTGGCACCCATTTGCTCTCAGTGAGAAGATTTGTTTGAATATATCTGAAAACTTTTCTTCAGACTGAAATGAAAATATATAATGGAGTGAACCAAGGTAGTTTACAGCTAAACTGACATACTGAGCAAGCTAAGGATGCCAGGCACCTCCTGGCCACTGGTGGGGGGATGTGTAGGGTTGCCAGATCCAGGGTGGAAAAATTCTGGAGACTTGGGAATGGAGTCAGGGGAGAACAGGGAAACTCAGTGGGGTACAATGCCATAGTGTCCACCCTCCAAGGCATTCATTTGCTCCAGGGAACTGATCTCTGTAATCTGGAGATGAGCTGTAACTCTGTGGCATCCCCAGGACCCACCTGGAGGCTGGCAAATTTTGGTCACTTTTGGTATTGACAATGGCTTTAAAAATTAGGGTACACCAAAAGTATGATTCATTCCGCAGAATGTACAGAACAGTAATGTTTAAGAGGGCATTTTCACGAAGGGTGTTCTTTCAGAGGGGCCGTGGTTCAGTGGTATAGCATCTGCTTAGCATGCAAAAGGGGACCAGGTTTAATCCCTGGCATCTCCAGTTAAAGGACCAGGGTGCTTGGGGGGGGAGAGAGAGAAAGGAGTTTGTAAGCCGCTCTGAGACTTGGAGTGAAGGGCGGGGTATAAATCCAATTTCCTCCTCCTCCTCCTCCTCATAGTAGGCTATGTGATAGACCTCTGCCTGAGATCCTGGAGAGCCACTGCCAGTCTGAATAGACAATACTGAACTTAATGGACTGATGGTCTGATTCAGTATAAGGCAGCTTTATGTGTTCATGTATTATTGTATAGATTACAATAGAACATTCACCACTGATATTTGTGTGAGCTGGTTTAGTCTTGTGGGGTAGACTCCCTGGTGGGTTCTGTTTGTTAGTTAGAACTGTAGATTGCATGAGCTCCCTTGTCCAGAAACTGTTGCTCCAGTCCCTGTACCTTCTTAATAAATTGATTTTTAAACACACCCATGCTGCTGTATGGTTCTAAGAGCAGGAACCTGAGTGAGTATCCTATTCCTGACTTGCAAGCAGTAGGGATCATCACATGGTGTCAGAAGTGATCCTGTTACTTCTTTGAGTCTCCAAGGCTGCGATCATACACCCAATTAGACTCAACATAGGTGCAAATGCCAGGCAGATTTAAAGGGTGTGATCAGACAAGAACATCTGGGGAGTGCCCCGCAGCCATTGGCAACCCGTTCTGCTCTGCCACAGAAGCGGAGTTAAAAGACACCAAGGGAAATCCGGTGGTTAACGGGTTGTGATGGGCCACGGATGGACTTTCCCATGTCTGATCACTCCAGCGCACTCTCATGGCATCAGGATGGTCTGATCAGGCCATCCCGACTTCATGCTGTTGTTTTTCCCCCCTTCACAGTATGTGCATCCTCACAAACTCCATAGGGAGCCCCCGGTGCAGAGGTGCGATTCATCAGTCCCTCAGTTATGCACATGGGGGGGAAATGGCACAAAAACTCCCGACTCACCCGCAGCTGCATCTGATCATGTAGTGACGGACTGCGCCCACAGCTTCAAAGGGAGGTGTGATCATGCAACTGCAGGTCAAATTCCTCCGGAGGAAATAGCCTCGCTTCCCTCCCACCCATTTTTCTGGCATGTGTGAGCGCAACCCAATGTTATACTAGAAAATTCTAGATTATAACCTTTATTCGATAGTAGAGCATTTCAAAAGATTTATCCTTTGTGGGGAATTTAGGACAGAACTGGAGATGATGGGAACAGAAATTAAAACTGTACCTAGTAGTCTCAAAGGCAGAAGAAGAGTCTGAGAATTATAAAATTGCAGTCTTGCGTCACTACATAGGAGAAATAGAAGATTTGTAATATGCAAGGGGCATTTGCAAACCCTGGCAATAAAACTTTAACAAAGGTTTTCACAGCTTTCAAATCTTACTGTGAACTCTGGAATAATCCAGTGTTTGAGAGATACCAGTTCTGGCAATTATGATATAATGAAACTGCTGGAAGAGATTATTTTGTCACAAAGCTTTTTAAAAAAGCAAGCCAAGCATTGTGAGTTTAGCCCATCTCAGGACATTATGCTAAGGGACAAGATTGTGTTCAATATAACTGATGGCAAGCTTAAGGAAAAAACTTTTAGAAAAACCCACATTGACCATTAAACAGGCTATGGATATTTACAGAATGAAAGGTCTTATCGGAGCCCAGGCTAGATCTGTGTCTGCAGAACCAACACTGCATGCAACTCAGCAAAAGTGAAACTACCCCAGCTCCCTGAACAATGAAGGCAAACTCCCAGAAATACTTCCACTGCAAGTAAGTGCCCTAGCAAGCACAAACAAGATTTGCAGTAAATGTGGAACTGCACACAACCCCAGGCAGAGTCCAGCCTTTGGAGCAATTGGTTATAAATGGTCCAGGAAAAATCATTTTGCAAAAGCATGCAGGCTTAAGGAAAACAATGCAAAGCTAGAAAAAGGCATGAGCATGCTATATTAATGGGTTTTATATCCAATCAGCCACTTTCTGGGACAGTGATCATTCTAATGCATGGTACAGCACCACTGCAGGAGCAAGGTAACCAAAGAGGTTGAGACAAAAAGAAGAAGAAAAGTAACTAAAATATAGCTATACACATGGTGCTAATGTACAAAATATCATATATAATTTAATTATACATTCAAAAGTGCTAAAATATTATTTAAAAACCACAGTCCTCTGGTTCTGCATATAAGTACCTATTCCTAATATAAAGGCAAATGTCCAATCATATAAATACAGGTTAAAAGGTAAATTATATCCATATACAATAACCAATACTAAACACATTTCAGCTAAAAGCCTTCCTCAGTGGTAAAATTCAAACTGAGCACTCCATAAATTTAACAAAAATATACATAAAACTCATCATATACAGAATGGACCTAAAATGAAGAAGGCAGGGTGGAGAAAAATAATTATCTATATGTGTGCTAAGCAACCATTTTTTAAAAAAAACATTTTGAAATATATGGAACTGGGATAACTACCTTACTCACACTGAAATGTTCACCTGTGGAGTAAGTGGTGATAAATATTCTTGAGATGCAACATGGGCAACTCATCCAGATGTATAATGTTTCATATGCCCATGGAGTTAAATTACACATAATGTATATGACTAAACAACTGCAAATTAAGAAATCTCCTAAATTTTAGGAAAAAGGTATATAGCTAACTGAAAAAACCCTAAATGGTGCAATATTTACCTGCTTAGGCCCAATGCAATCCTCAAATCTCCAATGGAGTGGTCAGGTACAAATAGAAAAGAATCAGCATTATGGTAGTCCACCCTCCTGAATATATGGAAAAGGTGGGGGTGGGGAAAATGTGATGCAAAAGAAGAGCGAGAGAAAATGAAGAAGAATTAGAATTTCGAAGAAGAGGAGGAGGAAGAGGAGATTAGATTTATACCCTGACCTTCGCTCCGTGTCTCAGAGCAGTTTACAGTCTCCTTTCCCTTCCCCTCCCCACAACGCACACACAAGGACATAAAGTGCTTCACAAGCAGAGACAGTGATCTCTGCTGTCTGATGCAGCTCTGTGTTCAGATAGTCTTACTTTAACTGGCCATGTTGTCATTCCTACATACAACAAATTGCATGGGCACTGTGTACAATAAATGACCCTTCTAGAGTTACAATGAACAAAACATCTAATATAGTAACTTCTGATCATTAAAGAATTTTGGAATACATTGGTTTTAAGGCAAAGGCCACAAACAGAACAATTGCCACATGGAAAGTAATCTTTTGGACTGCGCCCAACCCCTTCCAGGGTATCATCTGACGTATGTTCTTTAAGTGTACTCCTGACCAACATCTTTAAGATTTTCAGTCCTGTTGAAAGAAAATAGAGGTTTTGATCTACATCTAGGAATGTCAGAGAAAAGGTACCAATGTTTTTCAATTATATCCCTCACATCAGTATAAGTGCCATCATAAGTTAACGGAATGATTATCCTGTCTGTGCTGTTATTGCAAATCTTATGTGTCAATAAGGATTCCCTTGGTGTGTTCTTAGCTTTATAAAAGGCTCGTGTGAGAATTTTGGAAGAATATCCTCTATCCTTTAATTGTTCCATAAGGATGTTGGGTTGTCTATAAAAATCTATATCATGGCTGCAATTTCTTCTGATCCTTAACATCTGAGAAAAAGCTCCATTTATCTTCAGGAGATAAGGATGGAAACTATTACCTGCTAAAAAAGAGTTAGTATCTGTGGGTTTTCTGAAAGCATCAGTATGTAATTCCATACCTTCCTTTGTAATCAAAACACCCAAAAAGTTAATCCTAGACCTGTCATATAGCATTCTAAATTTAATACTGTGATGTATAGTGTTAGTATACTGCCCAAACTGGACAAGGAGCTCCTCTGAAACTTTCCAAATGATGAATATATACAAATACCTTTTATATAGGATGATGCTGTCCCTATAGAAATTATTATCCCTCTGGAGGATGGAGGTGTTTTGTAATCTGTCCATGAACTAGTTTGCTAATTCTAGGGCAAATTTACATCCCATGGCTGTACCTGAGATTTTCCAAAAGAATTGTCCTTGAAACTGGAAAAAAATTATTTGCCAAACATAACTCAGCCAAGTGGCATAAAAAGACATCAGATGTCTGAATCTATGCTGGACTCAAGCATAGATTTAAGTGCCAGAACAATGCCTGTTTTCAGTCTGGTAATGTATCATTCCTGTTTTATGCAGATCTGTTTCAGTATGCTGTGTTCTACTTGCAGTGAGTCTTTTCAGCTTTATAAATGTAATATTCATGCAGATGTGACATGCTATGGACAGTGCAGTCTACCAGGTATCAACCCAGTTTAGGATCCCCACCTGAATTTATTCAAATGTAGGGGGAAAGATGAATGGTTTGGAATACCTGGGGAACCAACTGGTAGACTGATTACTTTTGTTCATGATCACCAGCTCTTTAAACCGTGGGTGCAATTCTGTGCAGTTATTCGAGTCTAATGCCAATGGAATCAATATACATACACTGGACTGAATCTACACAGGATTGTGCTGTAAGTATGCTTCATCACATAGTCTGGAAATCTACTCTTTTAATTCAAAGGGGAATCTCTCGTGTTTTTAATAGGAAAAAATATTTTGTTTCACCATTGATTTCCCTCAGCATGTTACCCTTTGCTGAGCTCCTATCAGTGTTGATAACACAACCTTTTCATTTTTAACATGAAATGGAAGTTTGATCCATCCTTTCTGGATTTTTTAAATTGGTTAGACTCTATTTTAGCATACTGCCTGGAGCATAGACCATAGAGGGCAAAGATATGGGTTTAAGGTGCTGTGTAAAGTCCAACTAAGCATGTATTTCAAAAGATTTACATCTGAATTAAAGGAATCCAAGAATAAAAGCAAGAGCTAGCTGTTTCAGAAGATTTTTTTTTAAAGCCTTGGGGTTAACTGTTGTTTACTCAGGTGGAGTCCTGGCTTTTTGTCCTGACTCGTTGTCATGGCATCCAAACTGAAGATGAACAAAGCTGTGAAGGGTCAAAGGCTACCTAGATTTTAGGTATGCTCTAATAATGATCAGTAGGCAGAATATCTTCCTTTGTGGGGGACTTTTTAATAGCTGGCTCAGCCTGAGCCCAAGAAAAGGGGTACCAGCCTACCAGCAATGACCGTACAGAATCATCTCTAATGTGTATTGCTCCTTTGAACCAATAGCCAAAAGTCTTGTGTTTTATGACTTCCCTTTCTCTCTTTTCTGTCAAAGACAATAGGAGTGTCACTCGTTATGAGAGCAGTTGCTGTACTGCCAGGCAGACTGACAGAATCCAACAGTTGCTGAATTTGTTGTATATTTAATCCCTATGGTGTCACCATGGGCCTTGGTTTGGAAGACGGGCTTTGGACTAAGGCAGGGAGATAATGGAAAGGTTGATCTGAATTCCCTGTATGTTAAGACAGAAGTAAGCAGAAGACTAACTACCAGGGGTCATTTGGGGGGGGACGCGGGGGGATGCCATCCCCCCGGGTGAGGTGCAGGAGGACGGGGCCTGGAGCTCCCTGCTGGTGCTCGCTGGAGGTCGCCGCCGGCTGTGGGAAGGACACACTTCCGGTGATGTCAGGGGGTGTGGCATATGCTAATGAGTTATGCTAATGAGTCCCCCTAGCTCTTTTTCTACGAAATGACCCCTGCTAACTACTATTGAGTAGCTCACTCAGCAACTATCTTTGTGAAGTTCTTTGGAAAAGGAACAGTAAATGCAGCAGCCAAATGACAATATACTGGAGCTGTATATCCTTGTCTTCATAGCAAACAATTATACATGAATAATAACACCAGCCCAAAGTCTAGTGTATGCTAGCTAAGATGTCCTTTGGCTCTACTTGAATCATTTTGCCTGCATGTAGCTTTGATTCTCCAGGGACAAGAAAAATGTAGTGTCCCAGCAATCCCAACAATTGCTGAAGAAGACACACCAAGATTCAAATAAAACTGGAGTACAACATAGCCTGTGAGCAAGAACCCAGTGCCGTTTGCAGTCCATCTTAAGAGCTGGGAGCAGTCCTCACCCAGCCATACAACTATAACCTTGTCAGTTTATAAAAGCAAGAGTCAAGGAAGCCTTTGCCATATCACAGGCTTTCTGAGACATACACACTGGATTGCATGGGACGTGCAAGAAGCACACACAGGAAGCACACACAACAGTAAGTTCATTAACTGGAGTCATATTGAAGTAATATCAGTAAGTTAGTTAATAACCAACATCACTTTAACAAAATGGCAGGCCTCGGCAACATTAATTCCCTTTCAGCTTATTGATTCCCCGAGCAATAAAGTAAATCCCTTTAACATTTAGGCAAAAGTGTATTAATTTTGGAAGATCAGCAAACAGCAGGTTTGTCTCTCAGACTTAAGGTCATAACTTTGGGGCTCGGCTGGGGGAAGCAAGTGTATGCTGAATGTAAGCAGCACCAGGTTAGATCAAGGAAGGCTTAAGATTCAAACAAACATCATAATGAAAAAACAGACTTAAAAGATCCCTGTAGTTATGATGATCATTTCAGTCCCTAATTCATTCATCAGATGGCTTTGCTACCAATTACACAGAGTACAAGGGTACTATTGAGATTGCATGCAATCTTTAACTCATTAACAGGTGAATGTGGAATGTTCTGCACAATCCTCAAGATGTACGGGGGGGGGAGCTGCAAGAACTTGTGGAGAACATTTCCTTTTCTCTTCCCCCCACTATTTCTGCTTTCCCTTCCCTGAAAGTCCCCATAGTCCCTCCCCTATTTCTCCTGTTTCCTTCTCTCCTACCCACCCACCAGATAACCTACTTTTATCTACCACCATCTTCAGCTTTTCCTTCTTCCTTCCCCTGGTACCCTCTCCCCAGGATAACTCTGGCCATCTTGTGCAGTGCTGATCAGGCCCGGTTATGTGATGGGGAACCTGCAGGGACTTGTGGGCAGGGTTCCCTCTAAGCTGTGGAGTCCTGTGAGCAAAAATTCTACTTTCTGAGCTACTGGCATTAAAGTTGTGAGCAAGTGATTTGGCTACTGCATAAATTAGTTTGCTCCGGAGCCATCTTTCCTGAGCTAAGACAAAAATCTGCGAGCCAGAGGCTAAAAAACTCAGAGCTAGCTCACACCAACTCAGCTTAGAGGGAACACTGTTTGTGGGGGTACCTTACTTTTCCCTGTAACCACCTCCCCACACTATTTCCTCCTTCCGATCTCCTGGCAGCCCTCATATCCTCAACTTTCCCTGCTACCTTCTCTCCTTCCCGCCTGCCCACCAGCCTACCTTTTATCTGCTCTCCCCCCCCCCCCCATCTTCAGCTATATTTGTTATTTATTTACTTTGGATATACTCCATCTTTTTCCACAATGGGAACACAGCACAGCTTAAATCATTCACCTGTCCTCCATTTTAGCTTCATAACAATGAAGTAGGTTAGGGTGAAAGTGTGTGAATGGCCCAGGGTCACCCAGTGAGTTTCCACAGTAGAATAGGAATTTGAACGTGAGTCTCCCACATCCTAATCTGCAACTCTAACTACTACAATACACTGGTTATCATGGGGTGACTGCTGTTGAATAGAAGCAAGCAGCCTAGCCTGAGTGAGTTATTCAAGTCATGGAGTAACAAGTTTCCCAGTGGTTGCTGCTGGTCCTGGTCATTTGAGCCTCCCTCAAAGAGATCTCTGAAATAAGTGTATGTTTGTTTATACTGTATAATTTGTTTAGTGAATGGTGTTGAAGGCTTTCACGGCCGGAGTTCATTAGTTGTTGTAGATTTTCCAGGCTGTATGGCCATGATCTTTGCATTGTAGGGCCTGATGTTTCACCAGCAGCTGTGACTGGCATCCTCAGA